GGGCTCCGCACCATCCCCATGGCGCAGGAGAGAGGGAGGCCCCCACCACCGCCGTCAGCCCCCGGGCAATAGGCTGGCGACATCCTTCGACGACGGCGAAGGGAGGGAAGGAGGGAAGGAAGAAGAGCCCCCGTCGGCTAGGGTTTCGTCCCGGCCCAAGTCACCTGAGCAGGGGCGACGCAGGGGGCGGGTGGGGAGCGGGACGTCTGGATCTGCTTTCCTGAGATCTCTATGTAGACGACTACAACAATTTTAAATGTTATACTTGAGTATAACATTTTTTATAAAAATATAATACATTAACAACTACAGTAATAGGCACGCACTTAAAATTGTTGTCGCCTACTAAGGCTACAACATAAGTCAGTTGTACTAAGAGCTGCGATAATTAATTTGGATTGGAAGGAGTAAATTAATTACGAACTGTCAATATGTTTATGGCACAAAATGCATCTCATAGAGTCAAAGTGAAGGCAACGTCGTTAGCAAGAGACGGCACAATATGTTTTCTGACTTATGTCAATGGAGTTATCACACCCTGTACCCATCTTTCATTTTTTTATCCCAAGCACAAAAGTAAAGATAAAATTGTCCCCTGTTGCTTTCTTATCATTTTTTTGTGTATGTTTCTTCCAAACTTATCCAAAAGCAGTTTAGCTTCCCTCAAAAAAACAAGTTGACCTTGACAGTGTGGGGAACAAGAAAGTGCTTCCTGCACACAAAAAAAACACTATTTATTTGCAAAGAAACTACTCCAACAAGCTAAACTAATATATGAGTACATATACTATTTGCTCCTTTTTTAGCTGATTAACCCAACAAGCATTTGCAACATTTCTACCATAATGAAAAACAACAAAAAAAATTCTGGAAAAAACATCTAGATCTCTTATAAAAGTTTATCAGGACTACCCTCTGTAAACTAATATATGATCGTTTAAATTAAAAGTATCCCGAACATAATACAAATTACATCACGAAACTTAAACAGCAATTCCACTGACCTTTCATGCGAGTCGAACACATTCTGACGCAATCAATGCTCTCACCTAATATGTATCGAACTAATTAATTCAAGTTCAAACACGACACTAGCCAGGTTGCTTTCGTTGGGATAAACTAAACGCAGTCGAAACATAGTAGCAATGTTTCTAGTTCCCTTTTTCTTTTCTTAATCTGTTTTCAATGTGTAAGAAGCCAACTCTTCTGTCCAAATATTGTATGGGAGGCCAACTTGCTAGAGACAGCCAGGCAGGAGCAGTTCACTCCGCACTACAGAGGGCAACATAAATATGAGCAAGACCATGCATCAGCATTACGGAATCAAGTTGACAAATAGAATTGGTAAAATATTTCAGCATATTGCAGTCACACTCACAACAATTTTTTTTTTCCCGATAAAGCACTCACAACAAATTTTGGGGCGTACTGCTGAAGCTTATCGGATCTTGTTTTTGTTGCTCTTGCTTATACTATTTTTTAGCATCAAAGACCATCTCCAGGTAGAGGTAGTAAAGATTCAGATGAAAATGTTAACATCGAAGTGCCTGCTATCTTAATTGATCCCTATGTCCGAGGATGATCTTGCTGTAAGTCTAATGGAAGTTTGCTTGTGCAACTTATCATCTTGTTTCTTCCTTTGGAGAACACAGCAACTAGATTGTGACCCACCATTGGATAGCAGTCCTTGCTTTGCGAATTCCCTTGAAGATATGACGATTCGCTCCATTAAAAGTGATTGTAGGAACAAAAAACTATTAATTAATGTCATCGATGAATTATGCGTGCTCAGTTATGTTCCTTTGTTTCCTTCAATTTTGTACTTGCCCAGGAGGGCCAGAAATCATCACCCAGGAATAGTTGGTGACAAAGAAAGAGAGCAATCAAAGTTTCACGTGGCCGTGCTCTTTACTCCCTATGTTCTAGTATAATGTAGTGCGTATATTTTTTTTGGAAAAGTCAAACTTTATGAAGTTTGATCAAGTTCATAGATAAAACTATTTATATGTTCTATACCAAATATATAAAACATGAAGCTAATTTTATAATGAATCTAATAATATAGGGTCCTAATAAGTGCCACCCGTGTGGAACGAATGCATGGCAATTCCGAATGTTTTTTATGATAATTTAGTGACGCGAGGATGGTAACTTTTAGTTGTCAAGCATGACAACTTTCTTTTTGCATGACAAGTTTCACTTTATTTTTGGGTTTGTTTTTTTTCTTTTCGGATGACAACTTTAGTTGTAAAAAATGTCAGGGCCAGAGTGTTTCGTGTCACACGTATGGCACTTATCATTTGGGATAATATATGCTTGGCATTCTAAATGTAAATGTTTTTTCTCCAAAAACTTGGTCAAAGTTTGTGGTGTTTAACTTTTCAAAAAATATGCACTACATTAAGGAATGGAGGGAATATAATTTAGTAAAAAAACATATCTAAACATCTGTTAAGAATTTTACAAGTAAAGAGTGACTAAAAATCACCAAAAACATGATTTTTGGTTGAAAAATATCATAAAGATGAGTATTTATTTAGAGAATCAGGATATTAAATAGTGATCCACATATCCATTTTCCACTCCGTCCAACCACCACAAAATTAAGCCTGGTTAAGCCCAAAAATCATTCACAAAGTCCGAGCCTTTAAATTCTTGGAGGATTCATCCAATGTGCCTCGTGTCAAGAACTAACTACAAAAGTGACACATGAGAGCTATATCTCGCTTATTGCGAGACCGACGAAGCTATTGCCAAAAGGGGCATTCTATCTAAGCCGTCAATTAGCTCCAGTTTTTGGAACTTTCTAATCAGTTTTTGGTGATTTGAGAAGCATTTGATGTGTTTTTTCCCTATTTCTCTGTTTGGTTTCTGTTTTTCAGTTTTACTTTTATTTTTCGTTTTTCTTTCCGATTTTTTACTTTTCAAATTCATGAATTTTTAATCCTCCTGGTTTAGTCCACATTTTTTTGCCGTTCATGGACATTTTCAAAAGTTGTGCAAAAAATATTTTACATTTCAAGAAAAAAATCATATGTATATTTTTTAAATACTATGAATATTTTATTTTTATTTTATGAAAATTTATTATATTTGCACGATTTTTTTATATTTCCGTGAACATTTTCTAAACTTACGACATTTTATAAGTGTTGTGAACAATTTTTAAAATTGCACAGACTCTTTTATATGTTTTGATTTTTTTTAAATTTGCATGAATAAATTTTGACAGTTTCATGAGCATTATTTTTAAATTGACAGGAACAGTTTTTAAGAGTGTGAAATGGAACCTATTGTTTTGGTTAAATGCTACTAACATATTTTGAAATGTAACAAATATTTTTTAAATGTATGAACATTTTATTATAACTGCAAGAGGACTTTAAATTTTCATAAACTTTTTCCTAGATGCATGAAATAAGAACATTTTTTAAACTACGTGAAACACTTTTTTGAACTTCAGGAGGAATTTTTCGAAATTACATAAAAATAGCATATTTTGCCAAAAACATTATTGTTTACGAATAGAAAATATTAAATAAATAAAAACTAAAGGTGGAAAGAAGGGAAAAAAGAAGAGAAAACGTGTGTACGTTGAGCTGTATAATGGGTAAGGTGAGAGCTAATCGAGCGAAGACTTGGTCTCAACCCATTTAAGGTAAGGCGAGCATCTCACATGCCTTGCAATGAGCAAGGGTATAGACGCTCCCAACAGTAACCAGCCTTGCAATGCACCAGAGATATGCCCACCCCACTCGTTTTATGGCTTTCCCATGCATACCACCGCTACAGGTTATGGCACCCCCAATGTTGTAGGCCTGAGAACAAATCAACGGTTGCATGGTTAGGGAAATGGTAGTACTCCTAGCGCAAAAATCAAACCACAGGTTTGACGCTTCAGTGTCTTGTATTGCGGATTATTGTTTCAATGAGATGTGACGTTTTCATCGAAAACGAGGCACATATGGTGACTTGGTGAGCCTTGAAACTGTACAATTTTGACTTGATCTTTCAGTAGGCGTTAAAATGTTATAGCTTCGGTAGCCGCCATCACTCTTTCTCATGTAGGCCGAGCCGCGACACTCGGACATGCCGAGTACCGCCAAATAATCTGTCGTCGTCTACCCTGCCTACCACTGCTTGCGCCCACGAGAAGCCCTATAACATTGTCGATGGTATATGCCGCCACATGCGCCTAGTAGCAGTTCAGAGCGATCGATCAATGAGGGCATCATTCGAGGGCTTACCGTAGGGCTTTTCCTGGTGCTACTTTGCTGCTCAATCAGGGGTATTATGGAATATCGCAAACTTGCTATTCAAGGGATTATTCTAGGTCATCCCATTGACCATGTTCTCAAAACTATGCTACTACATATTTTTTTCAGCACTGCCTACCCTTGGGGAAAGCGAAGGACAAGATAGCTTTCGAGTAAGTGTTGCGTCATTAAGGAAGCACATTCCATCATCGGACACACCCCTCCATAGCACAAGTTCGGACCAAGCCATAGTCCTTTTTGCTTTTGTTTGATATATAATTCTGCTCCTTGCTGCCGTGGAGTTTGATATATAATTCTGATACTTTTGCTTTTGTTCATGTAAGCTCGGATGAAAGTAAAAATGAAAAAGATAGCGAAAAAATTCTGTGATTTCATCATGCAAATCATGTGAAACACACATCAATATTTGTTGCCCCATTTTTGTTAGAATTCTTTATTTTTTTGGATTTTACTATTCACCTGCGCTCACATGAGCTCGAGCTAAGAAGAGGACTTTTGCTGTACCGCAGCCTTATTTTATTTCAGCTACTTGTTTTTCTTTTTATTTTGCTTGTAATTTTGAACTTTGTATGATTTTTGTGGCCTATTGGTTGGCTTTAGTTTAAAGCTGGACGCTGTTTGTGCCTCTTCTGTGAGGATCATTCTCTCGTGCCCTCCATGAGGAGGCCACCGCTGATAAACGAAACACATTTTTTCTTTACTATAAATGAAACACATTCTAAACTATAGATACATCCTCTTCCGATGATCATGGCCTCCTGTGTACGTCGAGCCATTGGCCGGATGTTTCAAGAACTCGGTGCAGGCATAGCACCTCGTGAAGTCAAGACTTTTCCTATAGCCATGTCCAGGAGGATCAACACAGTAGTAATGATAACCACCTGAGGAACAAATAGTAAACTCCATTCAGCGTCAGCACATATAGCAACAAACTAGGAATAAAACGCAAACAAACATCATCAAGTAATGTGGACAATATTCTGAAGATTCCGCAGGCTTACCTTCACATGATGAATCCAGGGGAACGCAGCAGCGTACTCGCGGGATCTCTTCGCCGGCCTCTCCACAGTACTCTATCTCGGCGAAAAAGAGCGTCTTCTTATCCTTGCGCTTTGCGATGAAATTGAGGTGCACAAAGGAATCTCTGTTCTGCCAGAAGGAATTCGAAAGCAATGTCTCACATAACTCAAACTTCACCTGCAAATTGGGCACAAAGAGGGAAGAGAGAAAATTCAGTATAAATAAATGTGCCCAACTATATGTTGAGCATTGCCACAATAATGTGGTGCACGTAATTGGTTTACTTTTAGTTTGATTAGGTCTACCAGAATCCGCTAGAGCAACTGAACCACTTCCACAATTGCACTTGCAAATAACAGACCTCAATAAGATGATCAAACGCAACCCTAGAGGGAACCAAATACCCAGAACAAAGAAGCAACACTAGAAGAACCACCTGTGTAGAAGCAGGAATGCGGAAGCTGTAATTGCATACACAAGTATGTTTACAAGTACACGCCAGAAAATACAGATGGATCAACCAAAACTTTGCAATAGAGTTGGTTGCTAATTCTTCCACTCCCTCTGATCCAAATTAATTGACTCAATCTCTATACAACCTCTATAGAACATTGTATATAGGCTGCGTCAATTAATTCGGATCGGAAGGAGTAGCTGAATTAACATGAATTATTATCAGTAGCCACTAAAGGCTGATCGAAGTGGAATAGAGAAATTCTGTAATCGTCCAAAGAATCCTTAAGTTTAATTGAAACACTTACAAATTGCACTAAAGTATTTTGAAACACTCTGTGTGGCTCATGATACTAGTTAGTGATCCTAATTTAATATTTTCAGGAAGTAAGTCTAGTTCACTTGGTTGGGAGAATTGATGTACATCCCCACGACTTGGGTTCCTTACAGTTATCTTTCAAAAACAAAATTTAATATTTCCTGGCAGGAACACAACACTGACTTGTACTGTATACAGTTTACAAGCTCCTACCAAATAGCAAATGGAAGGTAGGAAAATAGCTATACCTTTTTCCTCTTGTTGAAACTCACTAAGGCCAGTTCTGACAGATAAGTTTCTTGCCTAGTTGCCTCTCGCTTGATTATCTTGGCTTCCATTTCTTCTGCTGTGACACTCTTGCAACTACAATGAGAGAAACGAATTACATTAAGCTACCAAATAAGATATTTCCGAATTTCTGATTTCAGTACGTGAAAATATACACCAGTGGACTAAGACCTCATTTTCCTGCTTAGAGGTTGTTCCCACATTGGAGCATAGACCTCAGTGGCAAAAGAAAATCAAGTTCAAACAAAGAAATAGAAAAGGAAAGGCAAAATCGGCTTGTGAACAACCTAATTTCTAGCATTTGCACAAGCACTCAACAAAACAGCAAAGTGGTCTGGTACCATTGTGAAATGCTGGTAATTTCTGAAAACACACTCTGCTGAATGTAGCAAATATCTATCGAAATGCCAGGAACAGAACTGCCGCAATATTACCCAAAATACCCATCTTCCTCCACAAGACTAAAACCTCCCCCTCCCCATCCAGAGCTACAGGTACTTCTGTTGCTGCAATTTACAGGCAGCGCTCCTGTGTGTTCCTTAGAAGAAGAAAAAAGAGCTCCAGCTACCACCCCTTCTTGAGCTCATGTAAGCTTTCATATTAAGCAGAACAATTTTGACAATAAGCTGGATAATTCAATTCAACCGGGTCACACTAACTGACTAGTGAGGAAGCTTCAAATGCTCACGGTCTGTATCTTCTACTCCCTCCGTCCTGCAATATAAGATCGTTTTTCAAGCTATGTGGGACGGAGGGAGTAACTGCCATTAGCGGTACAGGCAGATCTATGGTATGCCAAAGCCAATATTTGTAAAGAAGCAATTTTCCAGAATGGAAAATTCCCATATAAGTAGTACTCTCTCCGTAAAGAAATATAAGAGCGTTTAGATCACTACTCTTATATTCCTTTACAGAGGGAGTACTATTTATCAGCCCATTGAAGTAGTAAGACATCATGATCATACGAAGTGAAAGGAAATTGAACGGAAGGTATGTCCTGGATAAAGTTTACATGGACCAAAAACAAATAAGTATAAAGATTACCGTATTTCCTCAACTTGGGCGGAGTTGTCGAACATGCACCCGTCGTTCTCATCCATGTACAGGCTGCCGTGTTCATGGATGTAATTCCTCATAAAGACATCGGTCCGAGCCATTGCCTTGTAGAACCGTGCATTTGCGTCGTCGCTCTCCTTGTCCTCCAGCGCGGCTATCTCCTCCGGCGAGATCGGGTCCCCGATGTCCTTGGCAGTGGCCACCGGTGTGCGGTACTTGCGGGACGGGCTATCCGGCGGGATCAGGACAGGGGATGGCCACGGACGGTTGAGCACGGCGCGCACTGGAGACGGAGCGTCACTGTAGGGAACGGGCTGCTTGTCCTTCCCCTGCGCAACCAAGGACGGTCGATCTTCCGTACTATCCATGACGCCGTCGGAAGCGTCGGACAAGCCGACGAAGGGTTCAAGAAAATCGGCGGCGGACGAAGGAGGTGGAGAATAAATCCATGGTTGAGGGCGGTGGAGGACGACGGGTTGGTGCTGGCTCCGACTGCGTTACCATTGTTCCGCCCAGCACTCGGAGTCGGGATCCGATCAAGGGCTGGTTCGCCTCCTCTGGAATTGGGGAATTCGGAGACGGCGGTGTGGAGGTTTATGCAGATGCGGCTGCGTTTTTTTTCAACACAGTACACAGATGTAAGCGTTTATATAAACACGCTTATAAATGCACACACGCACACTCTATTCTTATGAGCATCTCCGAGAAACCGAGCCGGCATATCATTTTGAGATTTTACAAAGTCATCGTAGGCGCCTCGTAGTCGACGGAACGTATCGCTGAAAATCCTAAAATAATTCCAGAATAAATACGAGTACCAAGACTTGAACCCTGATGGGCTGGGATAACACTGTCCATTTAACCATCCCAACCACAGCGGCTGCGTTGGGTGTAAGCAACCACACCGAATTTCTTGTGTCCTTTAGGTTTTGTTTTTCTTCTGTTCTAGAGAAGAGAGACGACCGATGTTGCTGACTCAGGTTACTACTTCATCCGTCCGAGTTTATTAGGCTCCCTCTCATTGGGTAAAGTTTGACTAGTAATTAAAGTAATAAAACGTAAATTATATGTCATAAAAATCATACCATCAAAAGGCTCTTTCAAATACAAATCTAACAGTGTAATTTTGGTAGCATATATTTTATTTTATTAAAAATATGGATGGTCAAAGTTTGACTAAAAGACCTAAAAAACATGCCTTCTAAATTTCTGCCAAGACCTCAAGAACATGTCTTCTAAATTTCTGCACACTGCCACGCAACGCCTGCAAGTTCATACCTCGCTATACCCTAATGCACCTTGATCGTCACACATCCCGCTGGGGGGATCCATGATGTGAAAAGGAGCTGCTCTTGGTTATCTTTCTTAACATTGCTTGTTTTTTTTTTCTTCTGAATATTACCAACTTCCTCGAGCTCGCTACTAAATAGGCTGATGAAAAGATGGGTAGACAAGGGCTTTGGGAAACCTCCTCATGAACTAAGGGGTGGTCCTGGATAGAAGTCCAACATCAACACTAACAAAAAAACAAGGATAAGAAGAAAAACTAAAGAAAGTCCACCACCACCGCTGATGTCTGCACTCTCGAGGACCATTGTGCTTCGTCAAGCGCATTCTTAGAGCCTCGGAGGAAGACGAACCGGCCACCGGCATGGTTCCGAAAAGGCACTCCCAGCACCCGTCCGAATGGGTTTGCTGAGCGCGCTTCTCGGGTTGGCCAATTGATGTTCTTCACCGGAAGCCGTGCGGGCTTCATCATTTCATGCTCCATTAGGGCGGCATTGTGAATAATGCAAAGCGCCAAAAAGTACGGCTCAACAGCCTCCCACTGCTCCAACTTGCGGATTTACGTCGTCGTCGGCCTGAAGAGGGAAGAGGGCACCTGGACGCACTTTGAAGCCTCCTGGAGCTTCTTTCACGCTGCGAACCAAGCTCGGGCGGAGTCGCTGAGTCGCTCCGCCCTCACGCACCATTGTCGCCCCAGGGCTTTCTCCCACCTTCGGGAAGCCATACCAAGTTGAACATATAAAGGATGAAGGGGGTGCTAGGCAGG